TTGAGCTATCACTAAAGCATCTATAACTAATATTAAGTTTCTGTGTGGATATCTGGGGCGTGGCTTGTGGGGCAGAAAAGTCCACCCACAGGAGAAGGGAAGAAAAACAAAACAAACACATAAAAAAATCACTACGTGAAGAAGCAAACTAGGTTGATTTGTTCTTTCTCCCTAAAGACAATACTTAGGCTTCAAATAAAGGTAAAAATTGAAGGTAAAAATTGATGTATTCTTATTCATTCATGAACCAAGTGAATGTGCAAAGGTCATATATATTTTAGATACTGGATATTAAACAGTAGAAAAAATTTTTTAAAATCTTGGTCTCAAAAAATTTGTATTCTAGGGCTGGAGAGATGGCTCAGTGGTTAAGAGCATTGCCTGCCTTTCCAGAGGTCCTGAGTTCAATTCCCAGCAACCACATGGTGGCTCACAACCATCTGTAATGAGGTCTGGTGCCCTCTTCTGGCCTGTAGACGTACACACAGACAGAATATTGTATACATAATAAATAAATAAATTTAAAAAAAAAAAGAATTGGGTCCACCCATATAAAAAAAAATTGTATTCTAGGCCGGGCGGTGGTGGCGCACGCCTTTAATCCCAGCACTCGGGAGGCAGAGGCAGGCGGATCTCTGCGAGTTCGAGACCAGCCTGGTCTACAAGAGCTAGTTCCAGGACAGGCTCCAAAACCACAGAGAAACCCTGTCTCGAAAAACCAAAAAAAAAAAAAAAAAAAAAAAAAAAGATTTGTATTCTAGAGGAAGGCACAGTGGCCCAGTGGCCCATACTTAGAGCTCTAATACAAGTCCAAGCTTGGCCAGACTTAGAGACAGAAAGGAAGGCAAAGCTGGAGCTAGCAAGCAAGTGGAGGGTACAGAAGGTGAAATCAACATAAAACCAGATAGGGCACTTGTGGATCATAATAATACATTTTTAGATTGCATCCTTGGATCATAGGAAGCAACCTTGTGAAACTCAGTGTCTCATGCTTTCTGGAAAACTGTTATTAGAGATCCTATCCATTATATAAACCAAATATTCTTCATAGAGGTCAAAGGAAACCTTTTATTTATTGCTCGAAGTTGACCTTTCCTAAGCAACTAGTATATATCTGCCTCATGCACGTTTAAATTAAAAAAAATCTTGATACTGTGGGTGTATACATGATGTATGTGTGTGGAGGTACATGCCACAACATGTGCATAGGTCAGAGAACTCTGTAGTGTTAGCTCTCCCCTCCACCTTTACCTGGGCCACAGAAATCAGACTCAGGTCATCTGGCTTGCATAGTAAGCACCTTTACTTCTGAGCCATTTCCATGACCCTTTCATGTGCACTTTGAAATTATATTCTCCTTTATCCTATCCTTGGAACCTTAAAAAACTGCAAAGTCGATCTACATTTAGCTTCTGGCAGCTGCATAAAACCTTATGGTATCTATTTTCTTTTAAAATAAAATTTTCAATTTAAAATAGTTTTAAATTTACCAAAAAAAGTGAGAAAGATAGTACAAAGTGTTTCCATCTACCCCCACCCATTTCCTGTCATGAGCATCTTATATAACAGCTTACCACAATTAATAATAATGTTATATTATTATTAGTCAAAGTCCAAAATTTACTCAGATTTCCTCAGCTGTTACTTCTTTCATAGCTACTGTAGTTATTATTATATAACTTATTAGAATCTTATTAGAAGCTTGTTCTGGTGCTACCTTAAATCTTTTCAAAGATTGCATTTAAAGAATTAGACAAATTCACAAATCTTATAAATGTTCTTTAATCTTAACAATAAGCTATAAACATTTAACGTATCTAAATAACATAATACAGCTTTTACTTATTCAATTCAATAATAAACATTTTAAAAATAAATGCCCATTAGATACTATTAAAAACATTCTTTTATATTATATATTATATTCATTTATATATGACAAGATGTAATGTGTAGTGATATTTTGCTTGTAATCTAACAAAGAGTTCAGAGCTAAGCCACTAGTTAGCCACAGACACCAGACAGTGGTGGTGCATACCTTTAATCCCAGTGCTTGGGAGCCACATGCCTTTAATCCTAGCACTAGGGAGGTAGAGACAGGAAGGGAAATGGCTGGGAGGAGAGGACTACAAGGCAGGAGGAGACAGGAGCTCAGATATAGTCTGAGGTAGTCAGTGTGAGGCAGTCAATCTGAGGACAGTCTGAGAATGCAGTCTGAGGACATGATCTTCCTTTTGGTCTGAGCACTGGTAGAGGTAAGAACTCTAGTGGCTGGCTGCTCTGTTTCTCTGATTCTTCAGCCTTCACCCCCTGATAACTGGGTTTTTATTATTAAGACAATTTAGAATTCATGCTACAGTGATGACAAATGCTTATAATCCCAATGCTCAGGGAGCAGAGGTAGAAGGATCCAGTTTAAGGTAGTTCAAGTTATCTGGTGAGTTTGAGGTCAGCCATGGCTATATGAGACACTGTCTTAAAAAAAAAAAATCCTTGATGTAGGATTCCCCTCTGTATGCTGTGAATAGGTATTATTACCACTGGTTAATAAAAGGCTACTTTGGACTATGGCAGGGCAGAATATAGGTAGGTGGGAAAGCTAAACTGAATGCAGGCAGAAAGAAGGTGGAGTCAGGGAGATGCCATGTAGCTGCTGAATGAGAAAGATCCCAGCCAGCCACTGAGGAAAGAAGACATGTAAAAAATGAGGTAATGCCACAGTCACGTGGCAATACACAGACTAACAGAAATGGGTTAATTTAAGAAGTAAGAGCTAACTACAAATATGCCTGAGTCATCGGTCAAAGCAGTTTCTTTTTATTAACCAATGGTAATAAAAACATATTCACGGCATACAGAGAGGAATATCAATTCCTTATATAAATAAACTAACCAACCCTGCCCTGCTGTATGCTAGGACCAGTGCTCAACATCAGTTTTAAGCTCTCACACTAAGGCTACCCGCCCAGAGCGGTGAGCCTCAAGGTCCTCAGTTAAGAGAGCCCGCCACCCTCAGCCTGGGCTCCAGGGGCTCCTGTGCTCTCCTGGATCCTGCACTGCCTGCCCCGTCCTTCCTTCTGTCCCTGGATCACTGGGCTACCAGGCGGCCCTGTTTAGGTGCTGAAGAGTTCCATCTGGACGGGTGAGTGTGTGCTATCCAGGGGCGATAGTCCCGGAAGAGAGCACAAACCCTCCTCCCCCAGCTCCTTCTGCAGGGCTGCCTTTCTTACCACGATAAATAAACTAACCAAAGTATCAATGAATTTAAGAAACCTATTAACTTATGGGCTAATTAATGTCTAGAAGGGTAGTATGAACTAAACTGACATTACTGTAGTTATACAATATACATGACAATCACTGGAAAATGGTTTAAAATTTACCTTCTGGCAGCTGCATAAAACCTTACGGTATCTAGCATACCTACCCCAAGCATTACAATGCCCATGTTCCACCCCATGATCCTATTTCAATTAGTCTGAGACAGGGACAAAGTGTTGCTTTTTTTTTTAATTGTTTGTGAACCCAGACAATTATGTAAATTATGTAAATAAAAAGAACCCCTGATTTGCTGCATGTGAGACATATAACTGGTAATCGCCAGTTTAATATAAAAATACTCCTCTCTGGCATCAAAGCTTTTAACTCTATTAAAACTTAAGGACTGTGGGGAAAAGAAAAAGAGAAGACAAAAGGACTTTTTAGATATCATTAAGTCCTAATAAATATTTCCCTTTAAAAATGTTGAAGCTTGAGGCTGGTGAGATGGCTTATAGGTAAAGACACTGCTGCCAAGTCTGGCGACCTGAGTTCAATCCCTGTGACCCACACAGTGATCTCTGTGTAAGCATACAATGGCATGCCCCACCACGGCAAGACATAAATGAAAAAAGGTTGAAGCTAAAATCTTATCTTAGACTTTGTTGATATAGCTTCATATACTGTATAAGCAGAAAAGTTGCATTGGTTTAACTAATTATGGACTAAGACTTCATGGATGGATGGATATAAACACTGAGGTGTAGGAGGCTGCTCACTCATTCCCAGGCACCCCAGACTTGAAATAACCACACAGAAACTGTATTAATTAAATCACTGTTTGGCCTATTAGCTCTAGCTTGTATTGGCTAACTCTTGTATCCTAAACTAACCCATCTCCATCTCCATTGGCTGTGGCTTACTGGATAAAGTTCCATCTAGTGTCTGGCATCTGTCTCCGGCACGGCTACATAGCTTCTCACTGATTCTGCCTACTTTCTCCCAGAATTCAGTTTAGTTTTCCCAGCCTAGCTCTATTCTGTCCTATCACAGGCCAAAGCAGCTTCTTTATTCATTAACCAATAAAAGCAACACATATACAGAAGGGCTTCACACATCACTGATTGACGAAGGCAACAGAAAAACCTTCGACTAAACCAATATGTTTCACAGTCCTAAGATGATGTGTTTGTCAGTTTTGTTTTGTTTTTGTTTTTGGCACTGTGCCAAATACCCAAGACAAACCTTTCAACTCACAGTTTCTGAGGCTTTAGTCCATGACTGGCTAGCTCTATTGTTCTGCCATGGCAGGTAGCATCTGGTGGAACACAACAGCTCAGTGCATGGCAGAACACTGAGAGACTAGAAGGGGCTGAGGACAAGGTCTGCCATTCCGGGGCATATTCCCAGTGACTTACTTGCTCCAAATAGGCCCCAGCTGAGCTCACAATAGTGTCACCAACTAGGATCAAGCCTTTGCATATGAGCCTCAGGGAAGCACTTCATATCTAATCAATAACATTATCTAATCAATAAAGAATACAGCACAAGGTTCATCACAACCATCCAAGGTTAAGCATAAAACAGACAAACAAAAGCTAAAATGCTTTAAAAAGTCATATCAAAACCAAAAAGACATACATAATAAAGTTATAGTGTTCATTTTATAGTCCAGCATTTAAAATATTTTTCCTTGAAAAGAGGTTTGTCTGTGATTAAACCTAGAAGTTAATTCATCTTACCTTCGACAGAAGGTGCCTGGTCCTGAGCTGAATACAACATATCCTTGAATGCCTATCAGAAAGAAAGAAAAATAATACATGAAATCACAAAATTAAGTTGTACTGAAAGCACATGAGCTAAACAATTCTTTTTTACTATTTAGTAACCATATTTAGTTTTCTAAATTAAAAATTTAGTGAACTATTTCAGGTAACTTTAATAATCCATCCCACATTGTACAATCTTTAATGAGTGTTCATTTATATACTTTACAATGAAAGGGCAACAGAAAATGAAGACACACCCAAAAGATCAAAAACACTCTGGATTAAGAAAAATGTGGGGAATAAAAGAGATTGCGTGAGTGGACTGACGGCGGGTCGGGATGGGAACATGAGCAGTCAGGCTAGGGGGGAGCACAGGGAAAAGTACTGAAAGAGACTACTAGAGGTGGGGGCATTTCAGGGTCAGGTAAAAACCTGGCACAAGAGAATCTCCCAGGAAGTTACAGACTTAGCTGAATGACCCCAGCTAAGACTCCTAGCAACAGTACATACATAGCCTGAATTGGCCATCTCCTGTGACCAGATTGGTGCCTAGCCCAATTGTCATCAGGGTCATCATCCAGCAACTGATGGAAACAGGCAGACCCACAGCCAAACATTAGGTGGTGTTTGGGAATCTTGCTGAAGAGGGGAAGAGAGGGCTGTAGGAGCCAGAGGGGTCAAGGACACCATAAGAAAACTCATTGAACCAACTAACCTGGGCTCACAGAAACTGAACTGACAACAAAGGAGCCTACAAGGGACTGATCTAGGCACTCTGCATAAATAGAACAGTTGTATAGTTTGGTTCTCTTGTGGGACTCCTAACAGTGGGAACAGGGGCTGTCTCTGACTGACTCTTTTACTGCCTTTTGGGACCCTACACCTCATACTGGGTCACCTTGCCTAGCCTTAATACATGGGAGGTGGTTGGTCTTACTACTATTTGATATGCCATGTCTTATTGATACTCAACGGAGACCTGCACTTTCCTATACAGAAAGCGAAGATGAGTGGGTTGGGGTGTAGGAACAGAGGAGAGTGAAAGGAGAGGGAAGGGAAACTGTGGCTGGGATGACAGATAGATTTTTTTTAAGAAACAAAAAATAAAAATACCCTTAATGATGGGGTTGGCTCAGTGGATGAAAATATAATCTCAAACCTGATGTCCTGAGAGACAGCTCAGCAGGTAAGTGCTACTGCTGCCAAATCAGACTACCTGAGTTCAAAGTCAGGACCCACACGGTGGAAGGAGAGAACCAACTTCCCAAGCTGCCTCTTGACTTCCACAAATGAACTATGGCGCATGTTTCCCTGACTCCCCCTCCAAAAAAAAAAAAAAAATAAATAAACAAATGTTTTTTAAAGAGAGAAAGAGCACTAATTTAATGTTAAGAGGGCTTCACATATAAATCAAAATATTCTGCAACCCATTAAGTAGATAAGGGATGAAGAACTAACCATAAACTTAGTGACTTTAACCACTTCAAGTTTTAAATACAGCTAACTACTGCCAATTCCCAAACTGGCATATGACAGAGCTCTTCAACCTTAATATAAGTGACATTTGGGGCTAAATAATTTAAGAGGAAGAGTTCTCAGCATCTCTAGTGACATCTAGAGACACCAGCATCAATCCTCACCTCCCAGCTGCGATACTGTTAAATGTCTCCTGGCAAGCAAAATTGCGCTTCCCCAGAACCACCCACCCACAGTTTTCAAGTATATAAATACAGAAAAGGAATAAATAAACCTCTAGAGTGGCCCATTCTCTTTCAAAAGTATTCACATCTAGCACATTATAGTCTTCCCAAGTGAATTTACTATTTGCTTTGTCTTAATAATTAGTCTGTTAGTTCCATATCTATCCAAGTCTAACTAAAAGATCTCTAACAAAATAAAAAAGTTTAAAATTCTTAAATTAATCCATCTTTGTTCACTTTGTTTTATAAAAGTATAAGAAAATTACCTATATTAAAACTTTACTTGTTTAAATGAAAAAATATTCAGTAAGATTCACTGTACGCAATTTGAATAGGCAATATAATAAAAAAAAATAGGTATTTGGTCTTTAAAGTCCTTGGTTGGCACTCATGAAGCCTTTAGAGTTTACTGACTTTTATATACTAAAATTGCTCCAGGGGTAGGAGTTAGAGGAGAATTTCAAACAGCTTCAGAATGGAGGCTAGCCAATGAAAACAATTGACTACAGGGTTAAAACTTTCGGTCCTAGCTCTGAATTTCTGGGGAGGGCAAGGTGTTATGGAAATAAGTTCAATCGCCTCCCTATACATAGTCAACTATGCCTGTGTAATGACATCCCCCAAATGTGTAGAAAAGAAATGGGCTTGAGGAGGAGGAGGAAGTAGCATTGGGGTTTCTTTTCCAGGTTCTAGAAAACTGGAAATTGCTAGTCATCCCACATAGATGGATGGGGAGGAGAGTTCAACTTGTAGATTCTTGCCTTTCTATTGGTTTACGCTGATACTGAGTTTCTACTGGACAAGTGCCTAGTGTCCTCAGAGCCGTCTGCATAGCAGCTGTTGTGTGTCTCAGGGGTCCAATGTGGATCATGTTTATTTATGTGGCAAACTTATATATAATACATATTAAAAGATGGTACATAGTATCTTCTTTGATCATAATCTAATGAACTTAGAAATCAGCAAAAAAATTAATAAAATCGCAAAATTCATAAGGTGTGAAAACTGAACAATATTCCCTTAATAACTCATGGATCAAGCAAATCACAAAGCAAATTAGAAATGGAAAACACACATTTATGAGACATAGTGAGAACAGTTGCAAAGAGGAAAATTTATACCTACAAAGCTAAAAAAGCTGAAACCAACAACCTAACTTTACAACCTAAAGAATTATAAAAAGAGGAACAAACTAAATCCAAGGCTAGCAGAAGGAAATAAAATTATTAAAGTAAGTAAATAACATAAATGGAAAAACAAGAGAAAATCCAGCGAAAGCAAAGATGCTTCTTTGACAGTTTCAATAACACTAGCAAATCTTTGACTAAGTAGATGGAAAAAAAACCCAGAAGTTAGCAAAATCATAAATGGACATGAGAGCACTGCTTCAGGTTCTATAGCAATAAAGGGGCTATAGAACACTATAAACAACTGTGTACTGACCAGTAAGATAAATTCCTAGAAATTTATAAAAATATACCAATATTAAATCATGAAAAAAACATAAAATCAGAATATATATAATGTGTAAGAAAGCTGAATTGATAATAAATCTCTTCAAATATTTATTAAAAAATAAAATAAAAAAGAACACAGAGAAAATTTCCTAGCTCCTTTCCAGCCAGCAAAACCATAATATCAAAGCTAAAACAACATTACAAGTGACTAAAGAGATGATTCAACAGTTAAGAACACTGCCTGCTCATCCAGAAAACCCAGATTCAATTTCCAGCACCACATGGTAGCCCATAACTGTCTGTAATTCCAGTTCCAGGAGACCCAATGTCCTCTTCTGGCCTCTGTGTACACTAGGCATGCATGTGGCAGACAGATAAATATGCTGGCAAAAATACCCATACACATTAAAAAAGAAGAAGAAAGGAAGGAAGGAAAAAAAAAAGGAAGGAAGAGAAAGGAAGGGGAGACTACAAGAAAACACAGCAGATGAGCATCTCTTATGAAAGCCATGCAGACATTCTCAGCAATGCACTAGATGTATAACTTCAGTGCATAATGCTTGCATCGCATGAATAAGACCCTGGGTTTGATTCCTAGTAGCCAAACATATCACACACACACACACACACACACACACACACACACACAATGTCTGATTCAGAGGACTTCAAGAGGTTATTTCTCCAAATAAGAGATACAAAGAGCCAATAGCCATATGAACAAATGTTAACACCACTCATTATCAAAGGGATACAAAACAAAGACACAGCAAGATAGCATTACTACTACAACAGCAACAACATCTTGGTAAGAATGTACATAATTGTACACAGTTGGTGGCAATTGTTGGTAGGAATGTACACTATGGGTGAGAATGAAAAATTGGAGAGGCTGGGGAGACAGCCCAGTTGGTAAAGTACCTGCCCCACAACCATGAAAATCTGTGTTTGGTCCCCAGGACTCACATAAAAAGGCCTGTATGGCAGTGCACACCTGCACTGGGGAAGCAAGACGAGGATGATCTCAGGGATTTGTTGGCCAGTCAGTCTATCAGAATCTGCTAGTACCAGTTTCAATGAGACAACTACCTCAAAAATTAAGATGGGAAGCAATAGCGAAAGACACCTGACATCAACCTCTGGTCCCCAAACAGATGTGCATAAACACAGCAATAAAGAAAGAAAGAAAGCTATCAAGTCATTTAGAAACTAAAACTGAAAATAACTGTCTGAGAATCATTGTTTCGATGACTGTTTTACATATATATTAGAGCTAAGGATACAAATAACCAGTCAATAATTGCCTAAGTCCCTTTTTCTCATTTCTGTGAGGTAACCCTTGACAAGAGCATTTTAGGAGTTACTTCAGCTCACAGTCTGAGAAGAAAATCAATCGTAGGAAGACATGGTAGTGGGAAAGGGACAGAGTTGGTCAATTCTATCAAGTCAGAAGGCAGAGGGAGATGAACGTTGATGCTTAACTGGCTTTTTTTAAATCCCTTTTTATTCAGCCTAGACCCCATGCCCATGGTGGTGCTACCTGTGTTCAGGCTGGTTTTCCCTCCTCAGTTAAACCTCTCTGGAAACACCCAGAGATGAATCTCCTAGACAAATCCAAATCCAGGAAAGCTAAAATGAAGACTAAGTACACTTACAAGTACATCCCTTGTCAAATTCCACCCACGCATGACCCCAAAAGGCTCATACCCATAGTTCAATGAATATGAACACATTCATTCATTCTGATTTCAAAAGTTCCCACAGACTTTACAGTTCCTACATTATTCAAAAGTCCAAAGTTTCTTCTTAGAGTCTCTTAACCATGAGGCCCTGTAAAATCAAAACACAAATTACATACATTTAATATA